ATTTCAACTTGAAACCAAGTCTAGCATCCAAAACCTTGATAACCAAATGGGACAAATCTCAAGTGCGGTAATTAGACTTGAAGCCAGGACTGCAGCCAAAATCCCTTCTCAAACGGAACAAAATCCAAGACAACATGTTAATGCAATCATGTTGAGAAGCGGAAAAGAGTTGCAAGAAGGAGAGAAGGCTAAAGATGAGATGGTTGAAGTTGAAAAGGAAGATCAACCAGGGGAGATGACCACGAAAGCTTCACCACGATCATCATACGAACCATCACCCCCGTTCCCCGAAGCATTGAGGGAGACAAGGCCGCTGAAGAATGACAAAGACATGTACGAGACATTCGCCAAATGCGAGGTAAACATCCCACTCCTCAACTTAATTAAAAGTGTCCCTCAATTTGCTAAATTTTTCAAAGAATTATGCATTATCAAAGGGACACGCCGCTCAAAAGGGAAAGAAAAGAATGAAATTAGTGAACATGTCTCGGCAGTTTTTTAAAAGAAACTTCCCCAGAAATGCACTGACCCGGGCATGTTCACTATACCATGCAAGCTAGGAGACACCATTTCTTCTAAAGCCATGTTGGACCTAGGGGCATCAATTAATGTGATCCCCTACACTCTTTACAATTCTTTAAAACTTGGGCCTTTAAAAGAAACCGGTGTCATAATCCAACTAGCCGATAGGTCAAGTGTGTCTCCAAAAGGGCTAGTGGAAGACGTACTTGTGTCGGTAGGTGATCTAGTCTTTCCAGCAGATTTTTACGTACTCGAAATGGAGAGTGATAAACATGACACCCCTATTTTATTAGGGAGGCCATTTTTAAAAACCGCTAACTCAAAAATCGATGTTTCTAGGGGATTTTTAACTATGGAATTTGATGGAAAGAAAATAGAACATAGCATTTATGATTCTATTAAAAATCATTCTCCATTTGAAGAAAAAATTGAATCGATCTTTGATGTTGGAGAAGCACAAAATCATCCACCGTTCATCAAACCTCCCGAACATAAGTTGGAACCACCTAAAATTGAGGTGGTAACAAAAATAAAGGCTCGGCCTTACTGGGGAAGGCCGAAGAAGAAAAATGAAACTCGGCCTAAAAAGATTTTTGAAAATAAAGGGGATGTTCATGATCCCACATAAACCAAAAAAAATGATAAACGTCGTGCCGCGACGTAAAATTAGGCGCTTCTTGGGAGGCAACTCAAGCAATTTATGTTTCCGTATTATTTTATTTCAGTAGTGTGTGTAAAAAAAAATAATAATAATAAAAAGTGTATATGGAGGCATACCCGCTCGAGTATGTAAATGTACTCGGTCGGGTATGGATAAAAAAGAGGAACCGATTTCAGCACTCGATCGAAACAACAAAGCTTTTCAGAAATGCAAGCATACTCGATCGAGTATAATTCAATACTCGGTCGAGTATGTACAGAAAGACGAAATCAAAGGGAGCATGTCTCTGAAGCCCGATCGAGTATCCAACTATACTCGATCGAGTATGTCTGGAAAATCAACCCTACCAGACCCTGTCTTGAAGGCCCGATCGAGTATTTAGCCATATTCGATCGGGTATTACTGGAAAACTTCATACTCGAACCCCTGTGTTGAGTACCCAATCGGGTATATCTGCGACTTAACCCCAAAACACACCCCAAAACACTTCATCTTCTCCAAACACCCATACCAACCTCGACCCCTTCTCCCCAAAACTCCATTTTTTCTACCTTCTCTCTACCATATCTCCATCATTTCCCCACCACAACCCACCAAAAATCAAAATCACCTTACTCCACAAACAACAAAAGCCGAAATTGGGCACTAGGGACAGTGCTTGAACTAAGTGTGGGGGAGGAGACTCATCATGGGTATGTAATCTTATTTTCTACCTTTTACTATGCATGAACTTCTTTAAAAAAAATTGAAGAAAAGAAATGCTAGTTAGGTTGACAACCCAACAAAATGGGCAATCTAAGCAAAAAAAGGCTTGTAAAAAATGATGAGTGAGTTGGGAGAATGGAAAATGAAAAGAGATGCTAGGATGAAAACCTGAAAAGGCTCCTAGGCAAAATGAGAGATATGAGAGAAATATTTGTTTTTGCAGGCACTCATTTAATCTCTTTGGAGAAAAAGAGGAAGAAGAGAAGAAAAAGAAGAAAAAGAAAAAAAAAGGCAAGAAGATGGAGCATAGAAGATCATTAAACCCAAGAAAGAATGTTGTTGTAAAAACTCATTTTTCCCCTTGGTGGTCTTAGTTTCCTTTCTTGAACTTTTGGAAAACTCTTAAACCGTTTGGATGTTTCTGTTTTACTCGAGGTCGAGTAAAGAACTAAGTGTGGGGGAGTTGATACACTTGTAATTTCCGTGTGTATGTTTACGTTTTTAGTTAGTTTTGGTTATTTAATATTTCGGAAATTACAAACTTTTGGTGTAATAGTTTAGTTTGTTAAATTCTTGTAAATTGTTTAGATTAGGTTTATTCTGAGCTCAAACAGGTCTACTATCACTCAAAGGACGGTTGGTGAACCCCAAAAGTGGAAGGAGGGTGCAAAATCACAAGACAAAAAGGGAAAATCCTGATTTTGGTCTATACTCGGTCGAGTATTACCTATACTCGATCGGGTATAAGGTTGAAACTTCAAATCGAATCGGATCCGAAGACAAAGGAACATGCCGGGAAGATTTTGGCCACGATTTAGAGTCTATACTCGATCAGGTAGACCGACATACCCGATCGAGTATGCCTTTGAGTTTAAACCCGAAATCGGTCGAGTATGGCTCGAATATCACTTTCTACACATACTCGACCGAGTATGAACATATACTCGATCGAGTACGCCTTTGATTTTTAAGCCAAAATCGATCGAGTATACCTTGAATCTGGTATTTCTACACATACTCGATCGAGTATCTGTGTATACTCGATCGAGTACCCGAGCTGCACTCCCAAAAAGCCTATAAATACATCCCCTTTCCTTCACAATAGATACCAATTCACATATACTTCTTAGCTCAGTTTAGACAAGTTCTTTCTTTATATTTTTCATCATGTTTAGTCTCCAAATGAGGAGCTAAACTCTTCCATCTTGGTTTTGCTACTTTGAAGCTTAATGATTTGTAAGTTGTGAGTTATTTTCTTTAATCTTCTTCCTTGAATATTAATTACTTCCTATTCTTATTCCATATTAATATATTGAGCATTACTTAAAGTATCAACTAGTCTTGTTCTATATATTAATTATTACTAGAATCGGTCGGTTAATACGCTTGTTATTAATCCGGTCCTTTCACGGTAGTAAACTTGGGTTATTAATGCATGCTTCTCATGGTTAATAAGCCAAGGGGAATTAATTATATTGATTAAACCAATAAACCGCTTGTGTTGAGGTTATCAATCTCAATCGTTTTCATCTTGATTTTATTGCTACTATCAAGTTAATATACGGCGCTTGTTCTATATTGACTCGGTAGTAAGTTTTATTAATGAACGCTTCTCGTTATTAATAACTACCCTCGATGAACTGGATATACTCCTCGATTGAGTATTCGAGAGGAAGATAGTTAAAGATATAACCGGGATCGATGAATATTTCATTAAGTGGATAAAAGCAAAACCAAGTCTTCTTCTCATTAATTAAACCACATAACTCGTTCATCTTTGTGTTTTAATATTCTAAAAAGTTCTTCAACAACAAATCTAAAACCCCCCTTTATTACTAGTTATAAAAAGAGAAGTATTCCTTTCCCTGCGGATACGAACCTTACTACGCTATACTACGAATAAGTGTTGTAATGTATTATTTATTTTGAGTGCACCTCACGACAAGTGCTCGTCATATGTACTGTCTATTTATTAATAAACTACTGTCTATTCATTGTTTTGTTCACTTCCATTATATTAAAATTACAAAAATTACACTTAAATCCCATTCAAATTTGTATCTCATTTTACGAATGGATTAAATCAAAATTGCACTTAAAATTACAAAAATTGCACTTAAAAAAAATTTCACAACACAAATGGATTAGAAAACAATATAAAGCAATCAAATGTTTTGTTACTCAAAAAATAAAAATGCATTATTTTCATTTTAAAAAATATGACAGGAATTTAAAAAAACTTTTAAATTTGGAATTGATAGAACTTAAAACTTTAGTTTTACAAACTTTTTTTTTTAACCGAGTAGGGGATTTGGCCAAAAAGTTGAATATAAAAACTCTAGTTATTTTTTTTGAATCAAAAAGTTAAGAATTCGGCCAAAAAAATTAAATATAAACTCCTTATCGAAATTGTCTAATCCGACAGGAGGGGATTTGTTTTTTTCTGGACTCCCCTTTTTGGTAAACCCTAGAAAAATACCCGCATTTTGGCAATCCTATCCAAGTTTTCCCGTGTTTTGGTAAAACATCCCGTATTTCCGAATATACTATGTATATTTTCCCTGAAATCCGTCCGAAGCCTCCCAAGGCCTAATTCATCGGTAGAGTTATTTCTTCCATTAACTTTCTGGAAAGTCCAGTGGGTGAATTGAAAACTTGGAATGGAAGGAAAAGTTACTAATTGGATTACAAGATTGAAGATTCTAAGCACCGACCTCAAACAAAAATAAAGGAGTGTTTTCCATTGCTTAATAAAAGTGCTTTTGAGCTTTTTGCTTAAAAAAAACTGAAAGGAGTGTTTTCAAATGACAGATTCTGCTTCAATTAATCACTTAAAAGCTAAAAGTTTGAAGCAGGTGGAAGGATGCTTTAAACTGCTTTTCACTTTTCCTGTTACACTTATTTTACCAAACACTACCAATTTTTACTTTTTCAGGATCACTTTTTTCTCAAATACTACCAACTTTTACTATTAAGTACTTTCTCCAAAATGACTTTAAAAAATCATTTTTTTAAAGTAGAAGCAATCGCAAACACTCCCTAAATACCCGCAGTCCCATTCCCATTATTATTATTATTATATGTAGATTAAAAAGTACAAAACACAACCCTGCCTACGTAGATATATTTTTCCCTAAAATCCGCTGTCCCAAGCCCTAATTCATCGGTAGATAGAGTTATTTCTTCCATCAATTATGAAAGGTCTTGTCCCTGAAAACTTGGAATGGAAGGGAAAGTTACCCATCGGATATAGGCCAGGTTTCGTCCTGAACACTTCTCAAGAATTACCTTTTTCCTAAGGTTAACGGTCTCGGTTTCTGGCAAGGCATCATCCAAGAGGCTGACGTTTACCGGCAGCAGCCGTCCGATCTTCTTCTTCAATACCCGCCAGAGCCCGAAGAGACGTACGCCTACTTCTTCACAGAGAGAGCAAAAAGGTACAAGAACGGTTCAAGACCTAACCGTTGGACTCAGGATGGGAAGGGTGTGTGGAAGATCACAAATAAAATAGCGATGGTCAAAGATGGGTCAACGGTGATCGGGCAAATGAACGTTCTTGTTTTCAATCTTCATGAGAATGAGGCGAAGACGAACTGGATCATGCATGAGTATATTTTAGACGAGAAGTTCGTGAATAATCTAGTCAACGATGTAGTGTTGTGTAGGATTCACGAAAGAAAGTCAAAGAAACAAGGTCTTGAAACTGGTGGATCTGGGGATATGCCGCCGTTTCCGCCGTTTCTTGACTTGCAGCCGCCGCCGTTACAAAATATGCCCGCCGCCGCCTCCTTTTGTCAGTTTCGAGATGAATTCCAGGGTTCGGTTACTAATCCTAATATGGAGGCGGTTGGGTTAGAGAACGTGAAGACTAGCGTTGACTGGTCAAACCCTAATAGGGACTGTATTATGGAGCTGATGAGTTCTAATACCGCCCCACCAGGCAGTGCTTATACTTTGGAGGTTAATAATGATGTTGGTGTCATGGATGGGGTGCAATTATATCTTCCGCCGCCGCAGGAACCGCCAGCGATTGATGTGCGACCGGCTGCTACGGTAACCGGAGTAGATGGAGAGACGGCAGTGGATCATATGGAGTCATTCGGTCAGCATGATGATGATTTCGAGTTGTGGGATATTAATCTAGAGGGGTTAGATAGTTTCTCCGATTTTTGGGATGATAACTTCATTATCAATTCCTCCTTCCAATCTTCTCCACCTCCCAAGAGTAACTCCTAGATAGCAGCTGATTTATCATTTAATAGTAATTGTAGGATTTTTGTATAAACTGCAATTGTATTGAATTGAATTGATTTGAATTATATTGAATTGCGGTTAAATTAGATAATTGTTGTACAACATCATTGTTATATATATGCATGCTTCTTACATGCATGCAGACATGCAGTGCACATATGTTCTTACATGCTTATTTTTATCAGCAATTTTGAAGCCTAGCTAGCTTAGACGTACTCAATTAAAGAATTATACAATCGGTCATATTAATATACTCCGTATCAAATTCGTTCTCTAAAAAAGTACTCCCTCTGTCTTCCCGTTAGAAGGTTCCCACTTTCTGGCCTTTTTTGGACGTCCCATTAGAAGGTTCTCATTTCCATTTTAGGAAACAATTAACTTTCTTAAGTGACAAATTAGTCATTAAATATTAAAAATAATACATTTATAACATCACAGTTATCAATACTAACACATTATAATATATACCTATTAAAATTATTTCTCAAAATATGTCCGAAGTGCTTTACTTAATTATCACCTAAATAACTCTGTCATTTTGCTATGGGAACCTTCTATCAAATCCGTACATCTTGAACTTTTTTGGTTAGTTATTTTTGACATTTTCAGTCAATGATGATCAAATTTGGTCAATAATTTTAACTTATATAGGTATCTAATTATATAAATTTATGCGTAGTAAGATTTATATTTTAATACTCCGTACGTAATACTATCATAGTTTAAGGGAGTGTTTGCAATTGGTTCATATAATGTTGAAATCAACCTTGTTATATGTACCCCATTTTGTACCCCAATCTATTTGTGTGGCTCACAAAATTAAAGCCCACTTCAATAAATGAATTGCTCCACTTTAATTTAATGAGTTGCTTTTGTGAGCCACAAAATAGGGTGAAAGTGCTAATTGGGGTACAAATTAGGATACATTTACCATTTTTGATGTGGAAATAGTACCTCTTTAACATGCATAGACAACTAAAAAGGTGCTTCCTTAGGCCAAATGGCCAATATCACAAGCACCATAGATCATCGTAGCAGCTTTGACACCTTCAACAAATAAAATGTATCACAATTCAACAAAGTTGGGTGAGTATGTCATACTGTAGGGATTCAAAGTCACTTATTCAGTTGCAAATTAAATCAACTAATTTAAAGCAACTCAACAAAACGACCAAACAAACATTAATTCAATAATTATTACTCAAAGTCACTTATTCGTTTAGCATTTGCTTATTTCGTAAGACTAAATTGTTCTTTTTATGAATTTATAATAATTTTCCAAATTTTCTATCTAAATATAAATATATAATGTTCATTATATTTTACTCCGTATAAGATACAATGAGTAATTTAGAAATTGCAATTAACTTGGTGTGGAAATTACCCAAATATGAAAGCATCACAGTACGTTTACTCAAATTGAATTAAGAGTAAAATATTAACACATTATTCAGTAATACAAAGATGTGTTATTTGCTAAAGTATAATGGGAATTTTCTTGTGCGTTTGACAAGCATAAGAATTCTAAGTTAATCAGAGATGTCATTCTTGGAGGCTAAAAGCTCTAGAATTTCGGTTTAAATTTTGTGGTATTCTTTTTAATTTTAGTGCTCACGTTTTTCTATTTAAATTTCAATCCCAAGTTAGAAATTTAACTGAGCATGGCTGGAGAAGTTGTTGGCTTCCGTTAGAAACGTTAATGAGTGGCTAAATTGATAATATAACTATTAAAAGTGTGATTTTTGCCCCAAAATTAAGCTTAGTGTCTTATTTGCTCTTTAAGGTATACCTTAGTGGCCTAATTGCCCCTTAACCCACAAAATGACCAAATTAAACAAACATTAATTCAATAATGTGTGGCTCACAAAATTAAAGTCCACTTCAATAAATGAATTGCTCCACTTTAATTTAATGAGTTGCTTTTGTGAGCCACAAAAATAGGGTGAAAGTGCAAATTGGGGTACAAATTAGGATACCTTTACCATTTTGATGTGGAAATAGTACCTCTTTAACATGGAGTAGACAACTAAAAAGGTGCTTCCTTAGGCCAAATGGCTAATATCACAAGCACCATAGATCATCGTAGCAGCTTTGACACCTTCAACAAATAAAATGTATCACAATTCAACAAAGTTGGGTGAGTATGTCATACTGTAGGGATTCAAAGTCACTTATTCAGTTGCAAAATCAAATCAACTAATTTAAATTAAAGCTACTCAACAAAACGACCAAACAAACATTAATTCAATAATTATTACTCAAAGTCACTTATTCGTTTAGCATTTGCTTATTTCGTAAGACTAAATTGTTCTTTTTATGAATTTATAATAATTTTCCAAATTTTCTATCTAAATATAAATATATAATGTTCATTATATTTTACTCCGTATAAGATACAATGAGTAATTTAGAAATTGCAATTAACTTGGTGTGGAAATTACCCAAATATGAAAGCATCACAGTACGTTTACTCAAATTGAATTAAGAGTAAAATATTAACACATTATTCAGTAATACAAAGATGTGTTATTTGCTAAAGTATAATGGGAATTTTCTTGTGCGTTTGACAAGCATAAGAATTCTAAGTTAATCAGAGATGTCATTCTTGGAGGCTAAAAGCTCTAGAATTTCGGTTTAAATTTTGTGGTATTCTTTTTAATTTTAGTGCTCACGTTTTTCTATTTAAATTTCAATCCCAAGTTAGAAATTTAACTGAGCATGGCTGGAGAAGTTGTTGGCTTCCGTTAGAAACGTTAATGAGTGGCTAAATTGATAATATAACTATTAAAAGTGTGATTTTTGCCCCAAAATTAAGCTTAGTGTCTTATTTGCTCTTTAAGGTATACCTTAGTGGCCTAATTGCCCCTTAACCCACAAAATGACCAAATTAAACAAACATTAATTCAATAATGTGTGGCTCACAAAATTAAAGTCCACTTCAATAAATGAATTGCTCCACTTTAATTTAATGAGTTGCTTTTGTGAGCCACAAAAATAGGGTGAAAGTGCAAATTGGGGTACAAATTAGGATACCTTTACCATTTTGATGTGGAAATAGTACCTCTTTAACATGGAGTAGACAACTAAAAAGGTGCTTCCTTAGGCCAAATGGCTAATATCACAAGCACCATAGATCATCGTAGCAGCTTTGACACCTTCAACAAATAAAATGTATCACAATTCAACAAAGTTGGGTGAGTATGTCATACTGTAGGGATTCAAAGTCACTTATTCAGTTGCAAAATCAAATCAACTAATTTAAATTAAAGCTACTCAACAAAACGACCAAACAAACATTAATTCAATAATTATTACTCAAAGTCACTTATTCGTTTAGCATTTGCTTATTTCGTAAGACTAAATTGTTCTTTTTATGAATTTATAATAATTTTCCAAATTTTCTATCTAAATATAAATATATAATGTTCATTATATTTTACTCCGTATAAGATACAATGAGTAATTTAGAAATTGCAATTAACTTGGTGTGGAAATTACCCAAATATGAAAGCATCACAGTACGTTTACTCAAATTGAATTAAGAGTAAAATATTAACACATTATTCAGTAATACAAAGATGTGTTATTTGCTAAAGTATAATGGGAATTTTCTTGTGCGTTTGACAAGCATAAGAATTCTAAGTTAATCAGAGATGTCATTCTTGGAGGCTAAAAGCTCTAGAATTTCGGTTTAAATTTTGTGGTATTCTTTTTAATTTTAGTGCTCACGTTTTTCTATTTAAATTTCAATCCCAAGTTAGAAATTTAACTGAGCATGGCTGGAGAAGTTGTTGGCTTCCGTTAGAAACGTTAATGAGTGGCTAAATTGATAATATAACTATTAAAAGTGTGATTTTTGCCCCAAAATTAAGCTTAGTGTCTTATTTGCTCTTTAAGGTATACCTTAGTGGCCTAATTGCCCCTTAACCCACAAAATGACCAAATTAAACAAACATTAATTCAATAATGTGTGGCTCACAAAATTAAAGTCCACTTCAATAAATGAATTGCTCCACTTTAATTTAATGAGTTGCTTTTGTGAGCCACAAAAATAGGGTGAAAGTGCAAATTGGGGTACAAATTAGGATACCTTTACCATTTTGATGTGGAAATAGTACCTCTTTAACATGGAGTAGACAACTAAAAAGGTGCTTCCTTAGGCCAAATGGCTAATATCACAAGCACCATAGATCATCGTAGCAGCTTTGACACCTTCAACAAATAAAATGTATCACAATTCAACAAAGTTGGGTGAGTATGTCATACTGTAGGGATTCAAAGTCACTTATTCAGTTGCAAAATCAAATCAACTAATTTAAATTAAAGCAACTGAACAAAACGACCAAACAAACATTAATTCAATAATTATTACTCAAAGTCACTTATTCGTTTAGCATTTGCTTATTTCGTAAGACTAAATTGTTCTTTTTATGAATTTATAATAATTTTCCAAATTTTCTATCTAAATATAAATATATAATGTTCATTATATTTTACTCCGTATAAGATACAATGAGTAATTTAGAAATTGCAATTAACTTGGTGTGGAAATTACCCAAATATGAAAGCATCACAGTACGTTTACTCAAATTGAATTAAGAGTAAAATATTAACACATTATTCAGTAATACAAAGATGTGTTATTTGCTAAAGTATAATGGGAATTTTCTTGTGCGTTTGACAAGCATAAGAATTCTAAGTTAATCAGAGATGTCATTCTTGGAGGCTAAAAGCTCTAGAATTTCGGTTTAAATTTTGTGGTATTCTTTTTAATTTTAGTGCTCACGTTTTTCTATTTAAATTTCAATCCCAAGTTAGAAATTTAACTGAGCATGGCTGGAGAAGTTGTTGGCTTCCGTTAGAAACGTTAATGAGTGGCTAAATTGATAATATAACTATTAAAAGTGTGATTTTTGCCCCAAAATTAAGCTTAGTGTCTTATTTGCTCTTTAAGGTATACCTTAGTGGCCTAATTGCCCCTTAACCCAC